TCATGAGGCCCAGACCCCCAACATCCTGTGGGGAAACGGATCCTCCACTTCCCACCAGTGGACACTCCATTTCCACCAATAACATTTTGACACATTAAAGAGGTGAGTCCCTGGACTGTGGAAAGAGTGGCTTCCGTCCTGGCAGATACTGGCTGTTAGCTCCCCAGGTAAGGCCAAACAACCAGCTGTGGTGTGGCAAACAGATGTTAGGCATTTGGTTAAGATTCCTTGTTATTAAAACAAGGTCTTTTCATATGAATCTCCTTTCACCTTCCAATTTAGGTTACTTTTACCTCCCTTTTACAAGTGAGCCCATGGGTTAAAAGTGGTCAGCTAATTAGAGGCAGAGTAGAATTCCAACTCAGGTCTGCACAAATAAAGCACCCAATTGGTCATAGGAGTCCCCTCTTCATGGGAGGGCTTTCTCCAATCTCATGGCTGGCCTCTCATGCCCTTTCTGTCTGTGCAAGAACATAGACATCAACCATTTGCCTTTTGTACACATATGAGCATTTATGTGCACTCCTCACAAACAGGCTCCACAGTACTCATCACCCCCAGCACTAACAGAATAATTTGGTCTCAATTGAGAAAACTGGAGGCTCCGGACCATCACACTTACAGCTTGCTCAGGTTCTTTGTAGTCACAGTCCTGCCAGGTTTTGCCACTTTGAACAGGACAGTCGCCCTCCTTGATTTCGTACTTGACAGAATAAAATATTGCCCGGTCTCCCTGGAAAAAGAAAACAAAGATACATTAGGGCTCATTCAACTGACATCAGCAGACCATTGGAGAGGGATCTGGTGCAGTTATGTATATTTGATATTGGTTTAATTCAACAAGAGCAAAACATTTACTAAAAATACTGAAAGTTGTGAATACTTGGAAGCATTTTCATAATATATTTATAAACATGTATTTTCAAATAACAAAGTAGTATATGTAGTATTAGCCTATTTTTGTAGAAAGCAATTTACATGCACATATATGATTTTAAAAGCCTGAAAAATTACTCAGCAAAGCTGTTAACATGTTTCATCTCAGTGGTGAGTGTATGGTTATCTTTTATTTTCTTCTTTAAACAAACATTCCGAAATTGTCTGAGTATTTTTTTTGAAAAGAAATATATATTACTTTTACAATTAGAAAACAAACAAGGGTACTTTCTTTTGTCATGTTTTGAAAAAAAATGTTAACAGGTATCTCTGGGTGATGAGATTAGTTATGGGTAATTTTAGTATTTTTATTTGGTTTGTTTGGTTTTCAATTTTTTCTAACATGTCATAAAATAATAAATAAAAATTTTAAAACCCAAAGGTTCTGAGTTAGATGAGCTTTTAGATGCAAAATCCTGGCATGTTGGAGCAGCAGGAGACCTGAGAGGTGCTGTTGCCCAGCCCCTCACTTTGCAGGTGAGAGAAAGGAGGCCCAAGTAGAGAGCGCAGAGCTTAGGCAGCCTCTCACCTTGGAAAGGCAAAGCCAACCCAGACCCCCGTTCTCCTGAGTCCAGGGGCAGTGCTCTCTCAGAGCCTGCACTTGTCAGAGTATTTGCATCTGAGAGATGATGGAGTCAAACACGATAGTTCCGAGGTTCATTTCAGGTCTCAGATTTGAATAAAGCAGTAGGTGATAGTGATTCTGTGGACATTTTAGAAAAAAAAATACCCAACAACCACACATTTGCCACAGACGTCCACCAATGACAAGACCAATAAAATATTGCTGAGGGCACCAGGACTCCCATGACTACACTACTTTGTAATACAGATGGCTCAATGTTACTTTCAGAAATAAATAAAAAGCCCACTGTGCTGTTTTCTTTAATCTCATCATGTCAAATGGATGGATATTTTCTTCCACCAAAGTAAATTATCACAGAGACATAGTGAAATTCATTTGAAGAAACTATTGAAAGTTTGCATTTTTATAACTTTGCTTTTTTTCCCTTTGAAAATAATTTGCTTTCTTTTGCATGACACAAGACTTCAAACAAAAATACGCCCCCTGTGTCTCATCTTTATTTTCACCCATGCAAGAAATCCTCCTGGAATATCAGCATGTGATTAAATAGGTATCGAACCACTGAATCTACAAGTTAATACATATTCTGTTATGGCAGAATAACCAAGAATTTTCCCCAAAGAAAGATGTTAATTTTCCAAATATAAAAGGGTCTAAGAGGATCATATGTGAACAAACAAAAATCTCTTGTGCCAGGTGTTTTAGGCTAAAGATGGATAATACACTGGCAGCTGAAGAAAGCTGAAACTATAAATAGATCCAAATTAAGAATTTCTACAATTCTTTAGAAAACAGAACCAGAATTCATTTTAAAAAAATGATCCCGTGGAATGGCTTTGCTTCCATATTTACCTAATATTATAACAGTAGAACAGACACAAGAACATTGATGACAGCTCAACAATGCCGGATGCAGGACGTTTACATGTACACTTTTGTTTAAAAGTCCCACAGGTTTATTGACTAACGTTAGACAGCAAGTCATAGATCCTATTTGATGCTTTTTCTACAGTGTCCAAGATCATTATACAGATATAGCCAAAGTTGGGCCCCAACTATCAGGAGAAAAAAACACAAAGAAGAAAATCAGGGTAGTTATTTAGTCTCCCTAGTTAATTGTTTGAACTGGAACAACAAAAGGTGGAAAACATGGACTGCAATGAATTAAAGAAGTTGGAAAAAGTTGGTGGAGAGAGGCATAGTGTATGAGTAAGGTCATTGGGCTTGGGATTTGAAGGACAGTGCAAAAAGAGCATCCATAGTACCAAGTACTTATAATGTCCTGTGGTGTCACTCCCTTAGAGACATTAGGTTATCTGTCTATGAGAATGAATAGATCAGTTATGCAACAAGGCAGTGTGTCAAATATGCATTCGTCCTGTAGAATGAGCCACCACAGAGATACATGATACCATACACATTCCTTAAGTGCTCTTGTGTTGTATCTGATTTGCTTGTTTTCAAAGCCATCCTGGCAAGCTTATCCCAGGGATGTGTTTGGAGAGAAGAGTGGTCCTCTGAGCCATGTTTGCGTAATCTTTCCTTTATCAAGAGATGATGATTGACTTTAAGGAGATATAAAGCTAACGGTTGTTTGATTTTGATTTTTTTTTCTGTCATTTGCATCATGCTGACTGTTTTCATATAAACAACAACAAAATAAAAAATCACAACTAAACACTCCACCCCCGCCCCCAACCTAATAGTTTTGATGCATCCAGTTTTATTTCTTGGAACCACACATCCTGTCAGGATTTATCTTCAACCTGAGTGTATCCATCAGTGATAAAGAATATTCTAAACCAACTAGAACATTGCTGTTACCCCTGATGCATTCAGCCATCAGGACTTCATGGTAGATATTTTATCTAATATAGTAGAAGTATATTAACTTCTTTTCTGACTCCTCTTGACATAACCCAGTCCTTCATTTACCCTAGTTTTATTAAGATATATTTTATTGAGGTATATTTATTGAGGTATAAATAAATTACATGTATTTAAGATATACAAAAAGATGATTTGCTATATGTTTACATTGTGAAATGATTACCACAAATAAGCTAATTAACACATTGTCAACTCACATAATTACCTGTTTTGTGTGTGGTGAGAACTCTTAAAATCTAGCCCTTTAACAGATTTCAAGTATACAATACAATATTATTAATTCTATTCACCATGGGTTACATTAGACCCCCAGGACCTACTTATCTTATTTTTTAAAATATATTTTTATTGATTTCAAAGAGGAAGGGAAAAGCAGGGAGAGATAGAAACATCAAAGATGAGAGAGAATCACTGATTGGCTGCCTCCTGCACACCCCACACTGAGGATCAAGCCTGCAGCTAGGGCATGTGTGCTGACTGGGAATTGAACCACAAACTCCTGGTTCATAGGTTGATGCTCAACCACTGAGCTAAGCATCTAGGCTCATCTTATAACTGAAGGTTTGTACCCTTGACAACCGCCCCCCTCCCCATTTCTCCCATCCCACAGTCCCTAGCAACCACCACTGTACTTTCTGCTTCTGTTAAGTTTGACTTTATTAGATTCCATCTATGTGTAAGATTATACAAAATGTGTTAGACATACCCCCTTATATACCTCCTCCCCTTTGAGGTCTTTATATTTTAGTTTAAGGACGGTCACCCAGTTAATCCTCATGCTGTAGCCTGACTGAGTTTCTTGATTTTCCCACTCTACATAGTCCCTTTGTAATGACTCCCCTCTACCTTTCTTTAATTTCAGCCTAGGATACCTGTCATCTGATAACTCAGGAGGCCAATCTTGGAGGCTTGAGGACTAGTCATACCCTGCCCAAGTCCCAGCCCAGAGAGTGAGGTTGGTCTTTTCTAAGAGCTGTAAGCCTCTACCTTTAATTATAAGGGTTTTTTGTGTGTGATGTGGTGTGTGTGTGTGTGTGTGTGTGTGTGTGTGTGTGTGTGTGTCCTGGGTTCAAGTGATAGCATAAATCCCAAATGACCTCAAGGTTAACTCACTCACCGTGTTGATGACTTCGGTTATGCGGTGCAATACAAACTGGTTGCCACTGTTGCTTCCATTATTGTATTTCTTCAGAGCTGTATCCACAGCCTTAAATACATCCTCATCATTGCAGTCAACTTCTTGCAGTTGGTCCTGGTGGGCGAAACTTGTTAACAGCCTGGAACAAAGGAAAAGGATGGCAAGTAACTTCATGACTTATCAGTCTCCCTCTGGGAGTTTCACCAAGAATTGGACGCTAACTTGGAGGCTGATGTTAACCCTCTTCAGCCTCTTATCTCTTCTGTCTCTCCTCTCTCTGCCTTAGCACTTCAGGGTTCTGCCTGGCTTCCTGCTGCCCTCCACTATTTGTCCTCTTATGAAGGACAAATAATGGCTCTGATGGATTATCCAAGCAGATCTCAGGCTGGTCCATTACAACACTGGGTCGTTGACCTACTTGTTTGCATTTGGGAGGCATGTGTGAGCACATTTTCGGGCAATTGCACAAGTTTGTATAGCAAATCAGAGTACAATCCCATAAAGGAGGAGAAAAAAAATACCATCAACCACCTGTTATTCCCTTTCCCAAATGACTTTCCCAAAGCTATTTATGAAGGTCACTGCATGTGACAACAATGCAACCATGAGCAGACCCCTTTCAATAAAATTTCTTTGCACTCCTGGAGAGCACATGCACAGGGACATAGTGAGTACAGGGAGTCTCACACAGGATATTGGCATGACTGAAAATAAAAAATGGGCGTCCTATCTGGTCTCTGGCCAAGCCAGCCTCCCTTCACTCAACTGGATCTGCTGTAGAAAGGAAAATGTTCCCAGGGTGGAGGAGACAGGGGAGAAACTTAAGGAGAGAAGGTTTGAGTGAAGCCTGCTTACCCTGTCTTTCCTTCTTGTTTCTGGTTTGGTGGACTTTATAGGGTCCTTTCATTCACCTAGCCTAATTGACCTTTCAGTCCCTACCTGGGGAAACAACCTTTCTTGGATAGGTGACCTTGATTAAAACACATAGCGCCAAGAAGGTGAGCAAACATATTAAGAACAGTATGCCATA